CCGAAAAAAACGACCATGTATAGTAAGGCGTTTTTAGCCGAAAAAATGACCATGTAGAGTAAGGCGTTTTTGGCCGAAAAAAATGACCATGTATAGTAAGGCGTTTTTGGCCGAAAAAAACGACCATGTATCGTAAGGCGTTTTTTGCCGAAAAAACATGGTCATTTTTTTGGGCTAAAAACGCCATACTATACATGGCCGTTTGTTGGGGCGAGAAACGACTTACTTTTCATGTTCATTTTTTTCAGCCAAAAACGCCTTACTATACATGGTCATTTTTTGGGGGGACTAAAAATGCCTTACTCTACATGGTCGTTTTTTTTGGTTTAAAGCGGCTTACTATAAATGGCCGTTTGTTGGGGCGAGAAACGCCTTACTTTAAATTGTCTTTTTTTTTTTCGGCCAAAAATGCCTTACTATACATGGTCGGTTTTTTTTTTGGGCCAAAAATGTCTGACTATATACATGGTCGTTTTTTTTTTGGGCCAAAAAGGCCTTACTGTACATGGTTGAGTTTTTTTGGCCAAAAACGTCTTACTATACATGGTCGGGTTTTTTTCGGCCAAAAACGTCTTTCTACATGCATGGTCGTTTTTTTCGACCAAAAACGCCTTACTATACATGGTCATTTTTTTCGGCCAAAAACGCCTTCCTATAGATGTACATGGTCGTTTTTTTTTCGGCCAAAAACACCTTACTATACATGGTCGTTTTTTTCGGCCAAAAACGCCTTACTATACATGGTCATTTTTTTCGGCCAAAAACGCCTTACTATACATGGTCATTTTTTTCGGCCAAAAACGCCTTACTGTACTGTAATGTTCATTAAATTTCAACATTTTCCTAATGTTCTTGTGCTTCTTTAGACCAAAACAAAGGAAAAACATATTATTGTGGTTATTTATCGCAGAGTATGGTATAATTTTAATGGTCCGGCCCACTTGAAATCTACCGAGGCCGTACATGGCCCACAATGTTAAATGAGTTTGACACCCCTGATCTAGCTTGACACTAAAGTCCCAATCAAGCTTGTTGCGTGCGCCCTCACCTTTTTCCTGTTTTCTCAGCAGCTCTGTCATTTTGCCAGAGGCCATCATCACTTTGAACGCCACAACGAAATCTGTAGACAGCAACACACGTTTTTTTTTTTTTTGTTGTTGTTGTTTTTTGGGACGTCTGCCGTGAAGCAGTCAACCCATCTCATGGACACGAGTCAATCAACCTTGCTGGCTGGCCTGTTCGTTCTGGATCCTCAGGGAGACGTCCTTCATGTAGTTGAGGAAATCGCCGAAGATGGCGTCTGTGCATCCTGCCGTGTTGCAGTGGCCCCAGAAGGTCGCCGCGTCCACGTCGTGCTCTGTTTTTAACGTCACACGTGGTCGTTTTAGCCGTTCATTTGTACATCGGCAAAAATATTTGTCCCCGCGGCTCCATTGGCAGGAAAGAAAGCAAGCGCATTCAATCCAATTCGTTCTCAAATGTCAAAAGTTCAACTTGGCGCTCTATTTTGCAAACGAATAAACATTCTTGATAGATTGAATTGGATTCGGCGCAGACAAAAGTTTCTTGTCAGTGTCATGTACTTATGGTACAAATGTATTCCTTGCATGCATTTTTCCAGTTCAAATATTGCTGACGAAACATGTAGCGACGTACGAATTCGTTTTCTTTCCGATGTAGCTTGTGTCGTGTTATTTTGCATTTTTTCCCCTTCAGACACGCATTCATTTGTCAATTCCCGCCCGACTAAAAAAAGTGTCAGAGGAGAATAAAGTTGCGATTCTCAAATTCCTTTGTTAAAATATAAATTTATTCCCAGGTAAAAGATGGATTATTTGATTGACTTAAAATCATAATTTTGGGACTATCTTGGGGAAAAAAAAAGCTCACGAGAGCTTTTTTTTTTTTCTCTCGAAAGGAATTCATAATTTTAGGAGGGAATTCCCTCCTCGTTTGCCAACCCCTGATCTGCACCATCATCGCGTCAGCTCTCTACCTTGGTCTCGCTCAACTTTCACATCTACGCCATTGGTGGATGAGATCCAGGCGGGGGTCTTCTCGGGATGGGGCAAAGTTTGGGACTTGGAATCCTGAGGGGGAACATCTGCATTACAACATGGTCACATTTACTCTACGACAGGTGGATGAGTTCGAAAAGTACCGGGCTGGAAAATGGAAAAGAGGGGAAGCGTGTGGCAAACTTGGCTCCAAATTATTTAGCAAATTCTATCGCGTGTCTCTTGCCCTGTTTATTGAAGTGCTGCCACTTCGAACCTTCTGAAATTCAGATCTCATCTTGCTTTATTTGTTGCTCAACACATTTATAAAAGAACGCATTTTTCTCTTCTGTCTTCTGTGTTTTATCGACAACCTCCTCTCACGCGGCTTCCCGAGTTTTCGCACATAAAACACATGGTGGCTTATTAGCAGTCACACAAAAAAAAAAACCAAACAATGATGTCATGCTTTGGATCCTTTCTGGATGAGAACCAAAGGCAGATTAAGTCACAAATGTATGGGATTCTTTGTGAGATTTTTTTTTAAAAATGTGCAAAATCCGACGATGGAGGAAAACTAGACAACATTCCTGGGAGAGGGGGGGATCTTAAAATGAATCGGAAAACAACCAGGATGTACAAAAACTGAGGTTTGACTGGACTTGAAAAGAACCAAAAATTACCAAGTGATTATGGATTGATCATCATCCACCTTGACAAGTGCAAGAAAAAGTAGAGGAAAAACAAACGGGTGATCTTGAGATGATGCCGACACAAAAACGATGCCACTTACGTGCCACGGCCTTAAGTTGAAACTTTCATCTAAATCGGCATCCTCAATTGGGGCTAAAATTTGAGAGGGCTCCTCCTCACCTGTTGAAGGAAAAAACAAAAAGCAAGGCATCAATCAAAGTATTCCAAAACATATTCTGATATAAAAAAAATGAAAAAGCCACAACCTGAACTTGAGCAATCTGACAAAATCTTCCTTTTTTTTGAGGACACGTTGGCCTGCCTGCAACACACAAATATGACAACAATGCATAAAACAATTCATCCTTTACAAATAATAGAAGGTAAACTTTCAATTAAAAAAAAAAAAAAATGCAGGCCATTTGGTACGAGTTTACATCGACGTTTTTGGGAGCAGAGCAAGAAACTGGGCTCGATAAACTCTGAACTTGGTTTACACACCAACACATACGTAAGTATGTTCATGATTAAAAGTTTTAACCATGATTAAACATGACATCTATGCAATTAATTAAATTATTACACAAAAAAAAGAAAGCTAGAGTTTAGAGCAGGGGTGCCCATTACGTCGATCGCGATCGACCGGTAGATCGCTGACTCGTCCCAAGTCGATCGCGAAGGGTGTGTAGAGGAGAGAAAAAAAAACCCAAACAACCATTTGTGCATCTTTGTGCATGTTAGTAAATATATTTTTTGTGTTACACAATTTTTGTCAACTCATACACAGTAGAAGCCTTGAGCAATTCTTCGACTTGACACACTTCTGCAAAAGATTTCTCACAAAATCTTCTCTAAGTCACGAACCAGAAAAGGACACGCGGGCTCGTCAGTTTGGTACAAGGCTAAGAATGGCTCGACTGTACTGGCAATTGATCTGAAGAAGGACAGTTTGGCAATTGTCAACTTGTCATTGACTGTTTTATAGGAGTTGCTCGTGGGCCTGTTTGAAACCCCCCCATGAACCACATGAAGGCCACAACTACCAATATTCAAAAGGCCCATCCCAGTCTCATCCTCAATTTGCTTTGACAGCTTTTCATGGAAAGGCCAGTTCACTGAGGGACCATCCATTGAAACCTGCAATGGGCCATTTCTACGAAGATCTGATGTTGATGCATTAAAATCAACACACTTCAGCATCCATACGATTTCTGCATTGAGGGTCTCTGTCCCCCCAGTAAGAATCTTGCTTTGAACTGCTCCTCCGGAAGTCTGAAGACTGGTAGTGGTGGTGGTCTTATCACGGTCACCCTGGACGAGTGTGTCAATGTTCCCCAGAACTGATGACACAGACCTCATTGCTGAAAAAAAGAACAGGGAAATGATCAGCTTCAACCTTGACGCTAGGTGTCGTTCTTTAAAATCGTGCCTCATAACGGCCCTGCCCCTAGTGCATGTGCTAGGTTACCTTCTTGAAAGTAGTTCGTATTACAACATTTTGCGAAGAATTTCAAAGATCTGCACTTCGGTTTCTACGTCCGCGGCAGTAATATCCAATATGGCGGTCTCGCAGATATGCTAGTGGCATAATACTGTCGTGTAACGATGATTATCCCGCTAGTGTCAAGTGTGTAATGCTGCTAGTGTCAAGTGTGTTATCGGCTTTTAACATCTTTTCTTCCTGGGGATGAGGTTTACAGATGATTTTCTACAGGTACGAGGTCGAAAACAGTACAATATATGTAGCAATATAGGCCTACACAGATGCACAGACAGTACAAAACACAGGACAGAACACTACGATCAACTCATTTACTGACAACTACGCCCGCTAGTTATATATGTTATAATGCAAATGCCGGCCTGAAAATGGACGATGTGACATACCTTTCATGTGCTTAGAGCCTTTTGCATGAACAGTCAGCGCCGAAACACCCAATCTTCTCACGGAGATGCTCTTCTTACACACTCGGCAGTAGGCCGACGTCTTTTCCTCAGCAACTTTTCCGACCCAATCACGGAACTCCGGCTTGTCCAGCCACGCCACTTGAAAATAGCATTGTCCCGGCATATTTGTCTGTCACTTGTTGAGGTCGATAACTTCGATGAATAGATTTTTCCAGAAAATACGGGAATTGTTTGCAGAGCCGGCAACCAAACCATCCATTGACTGCCCCAGCATGGAGTCGAGCTATTGTTGTTACCCGAAATGACCCGAAGTTATCACGTGTCATCATCGGAACTGATCGGAGACGACGGGAAAAGCAGAGCGGTAACCAGGAAGGCATGTAGCCCGACAGCGGGGTTTGAGGGCAAGGGCGCCAGCGCATTTTCCGACAAAACTATTAATTGGAAGGGTGGGGGAAATGACATACACAAATAAAATGAACACCACAGGTTATTTTTTAGGGATTTTTTTATTTTAGAAGCTTTCCCTGAAAATTAAGGACAATCAAGAACATAATTTTACAACTTCTTTTTTTATTGATTTTTATCACAAAAAAAATCATTAAAAATTTAATGAATAATTAAGTTCATTAAAAAATTATAACTTTAAGGACCCGTACGAAACCTGCCTTACTGATACCTGATCTCAGTGCTCGCCCACCCCCGACACAAAATCCAATCACAAATCTAAAAGTCAGGCCCACATCACTTTTGTTTGAGATTTACTTATTTTCTTTTAAATTCACTGCTATATAAAGTGTTGTACCTGTGCTGTGTCACGACTTTTAATTACTTATCGAAGATAGAATTATGCATTGCGACCGCAAAGCCATTGTTTTGATATAACGTTTGTATTCCGTTTTGATGGGAGCCAGATTGGTGGTGGGGAAAAAAAACAACAACATTGACTCTTTGGAAAAAGTAATTGCCGTAAATTCCCGATTAGTGTTGCGTCTTGACCATGCACTGCTCAATGCTGAACTTCGTCAATTGTTAGTCAGGCGCCTTGGAGGGCGACTAAAAGGGTCCTCGGAAAGATGTGTAGAGTTCGTTATCGGGAGACGCTGTCTGTTCACCTCGAAAACATTGAAGAAGAGTATACATTTTGATCTATTTATAAAACTCCACATGCAATTCGCAGACACAATCAAAAACGCAAAGATGATAAAGAACCTCTCTTCTGTACGAGGTGACTAGCAAAAGAGAAGCTAACCTTTCGGAGGGTGCATGTTGTTGTAAAGTTGTCTCTTTTGCCGTCAGCTCTTCGTCATGCAACTCGTGTAGTCTTCTTGTAATGATGCATCTTGAGGGAATCACATACCTGCGGTCATTTGTTGCGATTCTGAAAAGGTTTCTGAGACCGACATCGTCCACTACACTAACCGGCCTGCAGTCCGCAGCTAACCACTTCGCTATGGCATTTGTTATTTCCTCTTGTCTTTGATTCTCTGCAGTTGTCCCAGACCTTGCATTTAACGGAGTAAGGCAACGTCTGAATTGATCCTTTCTTTCGTTAAAGCTACTGCTGACATCAACTCTGTGTTTTGCATGTAGATGATATTTCAGACTGGATGTACTCCGGTGATAACAAAATCCAAAATTGCAGTGCCGACAAAACGCTTTACTTCTGTCGACTGCGCCGTCTGGGAGAATTTTAAAATAAAAATGGCCGTTTAAAAGTTCGGTCCCCTTACTCATGGTTGTTTTTCTGCAATTGCTACTTTTCAGGTTCCAGTATGGATAAACGCGTGGTTACTTAGCGCAATACCGGTGTAGGTACCAGATCAATTTGGGGGCCTGGGCCAGCTCCTGACGTCACGTTTTATGATTGGTCCATTTTGCGGAAATGCGATTGTAGTTCTTCGACGAAAAAAAAAATTTCGATGGAATTTTGATGCAATATTTGATTCTAAAATATTCAACAGTGACAGCCCTCGTCCTAAGTAGCGAACTGCCAGGCTTTCCGTTTTGTCTCCCTCTGTTAGTTATTTTTCAATGCTAAGTTTCTTGGACACGCTTGTGTTGTTACATACTTGGCCAATAAAGCTGATGATAATGAAAGATCTGTATACCCTTAATTTTATATCATCTGCTCTCCTCGTCGTGTCGGAGCCAGAGGAATTTACCAAACCATTCAGATTTTACGTGACGATTTGGGTCCCGCTTTAATGTTTTTTTCAGCGCGGGTGGGACAGAAAAAGTCGCGAGCCGTTTTTTTGTTTTTTTTGTATGTCGCAGACCACGCGAGGTTGGTTTTGGAGCAGAAACAGGCATTAGATGCGGATGTTTGTCCATTCTTGCGTATCAGCAGTGGTGCTAACTTGCTAACCTCCTCTGCGGTCCCGCCACCAGCGTTTACAAAACTTCTTTAATGTGTAGGTCGATTGCAAACTACGTATAGCTGCATACCTACCTACTGTACAAGAGTGTGTAACACTCATGTCCGCACTTCTGCCATGTACTCATTAAATTTGTTTCCCTCAAAATTGCGGGCTCTCTTCATAAAGTCAACTTTCATAAGCTTTGTACGATCTTTTCTCGACATTTGGTGGAATGTCATAAAAAAGCAGCATTCCAACCCCATAAACCATTATATTTACACAAATTACTATATCGGATTTTTTTTTCTTATTGGCTTTTATTTTGAAATATTTATCCTCACACAATATCAACAAAACATGAGTTAAGAATCAAGTTTTCTTTTTATACATATATATTTTTTTAAAAAGTCACAGGGCAGTGACATCACCATAAATAATGTACAATATAGCAGCTCCAATAATAAATATCTCATGACAGGCATTAATAAACAATATCTACATTCAGAGCATGAAAGGAATAAGTTAGCACTATACAAGTCAAGTCACCTGTTTATCCACATTTTCTTCTTGTAGACTGGTGAACATGTAACACACAAATGGATGATGGAAAAATATTCTAATGACAGAGAAGGACAAACAAGTAGTAGAAAAATAAGATATTAGAAGGGAAAGTGACCAACGTAATATTTGTGTTTTTTGTTGCGTTTCTTACAAATAAATATAAAATATGTAATACAGCAGCTAAATTAGCTGTTTGTAACTGCCAACCTTTTGTGTGCTCTCACAGTGGAATTAGCTTCTGTGTGATGTGATGGGGTTGGTCCACATGCACTGATAGATGCATTAACTGAGATCAGTCCTGCTGGCCCGTTAACATCTATAACATCATCTTGACATACAGGAATACCGTACGCCATTAAAATAAACCTCTGTTCCTCCTGTTTGGGGCACAACGTGCTTTTGTGTGGATGATTGAAAAAAAATGCTGGTTTTAATGGGAGATATCAATGTTAGCAAATACGGACGGTACAGACAGCCACAAGATGTTTAGGAGGGAGAGAGTGACGTGGACCCACACGAGGGACGTGCTGGCCAGCTCAGGATTTGACGTCCGTGAAAGGCGTGCAGGTTTCGCTGCAACTGGATGATGTGCTGAGGTGTCCTGACCCGCTGCCTTCTGTTTCAACACCCACAAAGATAGATTGGCATGTGTTAAACTTCAAGTTTTGACAACAATGGAGGTGTGTTTGTTGTGCAAGACTTTCAGGTTTAATTTTCACAAACCTAGGGTGGTTACTGTCTATGAATTGCAATCATTTGAAAGAATGTACCTCCATTTCCAGGGTCTTGTAATCCTGGGAAAAACTATCGTGTTCCTTTTCTTTTCATCGAAGGATAAGTCGAAATAGTAATCATTGTGACAGGCCCACCCATCTTAAGCCTTGACTTTAATCTTTTTTATTTTAAAAACCCAAAGATTTGATCCGAGGAAAATTAGCCAATCAGAGGCTGTAGAGACAGGAGGTATGACTGAATAGTGCTGCCAATCATTGATGTGCACCCACACATCGCCGCTCCTAGACTATTGTCGATTTTTGATTGGGTTATTAAACTCTGGTTAGCGACAGAAGTTGATAAACAGGGAATTAGAGTGCTCTCAAGAGACAAATCAGGGGTAGACACAAATAATGGTGGTGACCTATGCACGGATGGCTACATATGGAAGGCTACAAGCACCTGTGCCGATGTCACCGTTCTATCTGGTCATCAGGTGTGTTGATCACTAATCTTTTAGTTTTATTTTACTGTACATTCCAAAAAGTATCAAATCTTGCTAGCAGTTACACCTTTCTGGACGTCTGTGTTGAGTACCTGAGCTGGTGAGTGACTGGCATGACTTGGACTTTGCAATGAGGCTAACCAAATTCGCAGTGGCCATCCAGCCCTCTGTGGAGGTGTTCAGGTTACGCACTAACCTGCAACAAATATACATACACACACACAAATCACTGTGTTTTATCTGTGATTCATAATTGGATGGCCAGTGATAGATAACAAGTCTGGCTTACCACTGTCCATTCTCCCCCTCCTTCACCAGCTCTACTACGTCTCCGCTTTTCACCGCCACCTCTTGACTGGAAACCTTCTCGTAGTCGCCCGTTGCCGTGTATTTACCGGTGTACTATTGGCAAAGATATACACTGGTATTAGGTGGTCAAACATTTCTGTTCAATTGTTACTCTTTTGAGAAAGCTGGTAACGTAATAACCCGGCCACTTGTCACGTTGCTCGTGTGACTGATGTGTGTAGTGAGACAAATATTTGTGTGATAACGGCTATCTTCATCACTAAATCTTATAAGGACGCTGCTATGTTTTGTTTGGTTTTTGTTTTTTTGAAACACCAAAGTAAATGTATCTAATTTTATTTTAAAAGTAAGAAATATGAACACAGCAAGACAAAAGAAATATGCATCGATCCAAGATGCAGGACATAGTTGACATAATTGAGATAAACATGAAACTGGGCCAGACTCACCAGCTTCTTGGCGCTGTCGTCCTCTGGGTCAGATTTGAGAGGATCCTCACCGCTGGAGTAGCCTTCGTGCTCCTCCGACGCGTCCATCGAGAGAGAGGCCTTGTTCCAGCCTGAGGTGAGAGAAGAGGAAGCAGAACACAGGAGGTGTGGTTAAGGAAAGGCGTCTGACACGAGTATGACGTGCGGTAAGATAGACATGAAGAGGAAAGAGAAGCTCATCCCGTGAGTCCCAACGCATTTCGAGTGTGTGCAGCGTTACTTATTTCCTCCAAATTCTAAACGCACAGAGAAGGTATTGGAAAGGCAGTTTCTGATAAGAGCGGCTGAACATTCTGGTGTTTGTTAAATAAAGTGACATCACTCGCTACCCGCTTGGCATGCATATTACAGCAGCCGGTCCATGTGAAGAGGGCTAGTTGTCGCTTCCAGAAACCCAAAAGGAAAAAATATTGCTGTTCCCCCCCCCCCCGAGATTGTTGTCATCTAAAGACATTAAATCGACATATGTCCACTTTAAATATGCGCATGTTTCACATTTTACCAACTCGCTAAAGCCCCTTAATCGCAAAAGGACAGTGGTGCAGGTAAAGTGAAATGAGAGAAAACTGACACCTACAAGGAGCAGATATTCCAGCGGCCGCCTGTACCTCTCAACTTGGTTTGTAAAAGACTACAGGTGCTCGACCACCTGTTTTTGCTGAGGTGGAGGGGTGCGTGGGGGGGACTCGCATCTGAGAAAAGACAGCCGGTGACATTCACCGCCATGGATGGATGCGTGGAGATTGGAAGTTACCTTGAAAGCCGAACGGCGTCGGGTCACTCTGACGCTTAGTCTTGTGATCCGGGCTGGTCGGCGATCCTGAAAATATTTGCCCAAAAGCAGTTTGTGTGTTAGAGCAAGACAAGAGAGACCCCGGCATTCAAAGTGCACATGCTGGGGAGGGAAACACTCAAACAACAACAAGTGAAGTGAGAATAGTCTTTCCAGTTTTTCCGACTGTTTGCCTTCTATTTGGTGACAGAGTGAAGCACAGGTGGGAGTAGGTGAAAACATCACAAATTTCACTGGGCATGGGCGGGATATATTTTACATCTCGTATCTATTCAGCAACACTGGGCGAGAAGAGTTCACATGTAAATAAATATAAGAGAGCCAAATGCCAATGATTGACTTTCAGGGACAATGTGATTTGGCCATCAAAGTGTCACATTTGCTGGTGGGGGGGAAGCACTAAGGTTGCACTGAATTGACGCTGCTACTGCTGCTGTGTAATACCTGGACACGGCAAAATGGTGATGGGCAAGGTGAAACTTTTATCATCTGTGCTCGGCGGCTCTGCGGAGGTAAGCATGGCAGTGTTGGACCTCACAATGAACCACGATGATGATCTGCCATTTTAATTATTTTTGCCTCGACGATTTTTACTTGATTCATAGTCAAATATCTGGAGGAATGCAAATGCTCTCAGAAAAGCTTTTTGTGAAATTGTCTATAAATATAATTGCCTCATTGTTAAAAGGTGTTGTTTTTTTCCCGATCTTCCTTCAATAGGGGCAATGGAGATTTTTTTTTAAATCTGAAAAGCAGCACATTTTTGTTTTTGGATTCATCAATTATGATGCCTCACAATTTTTTTTTGTTATGTTAAAAAAAAAACACTGGATCATGACAAATAAATATGAATATCAATAATTGGATATTAAAGGTATTTGCCACAATTCCTCAAAATGACTCGCTGGACTTGTGTTCTATGAAGTGAATGTCGAACTGAATGTCGAACTTCCCACAACAGGCATGATGATCTGACGTGATGGGACAAAATGACCTGAAGTTACCTTTCTGAGCTTTGAGGTTACTGAAGCCCTGTAAAGTAAAGCGCTTTTTAGCTGCAGCACTTCTGTCTGAGGTAGGGCTTGTAGCTCTCTCTTCCGACCCGGAGGAAATGCAAGAGGAACAGACAGATAATACAAAAATAGAGGAAAGACGCGAGGTAAGTTAAAAGACACTCAAAGGAAGGAAACGTGAGGAAGGGCATGAATCAGACAAGAGGTGGGAATAAAAGGTGCAATTGGCATGCCTGAATAAAGCTGCAAAGAGTGCCTAGTGGTCACCTTTTCCTGCTGACTTCGGCGAAGGAGAGGAATTAGCGTCAAAGCTGCAGTGTTCGGCTTTCCTCTCGTCTCCTTTCTTCAAACTCCTCTGTCGCATCTTGAATGGACTGTCGATGGACAGAAGTGAAGAGTTTTGGCCTGGAGAACTTCACTTTTCATCAAGGGCAAATGCACACGTACCTAAAATTCTCCGGTGCTCCTGCCACCGAGGGACATTGGATAATCTGATCTGGCGCCCTCTGTTGACTTGCTTCTGAACAAGACAGAAGAATAAACATTTACTGGGCAGTGAGCAGCGATGCCCACCCGTGGTTCTACGGCACACTGGTGTGATGCGAGAGATCGTCAGGGGTTGCCGTGGCTTTTACTTTTGCATTTATGTAGAAATTTGGGTTACAGAATGTCGTCATTAACCCGAGAACAACCGATATCAACATTTCACTTATCACAGATAAATAACACGGAGTGGGGCAAAAATTCCCAACAATCGGCAGACCGCAGGTTGTAATTCGAAAGAATCGATCTCCACCTCTGCATGCTTCCAGTTGAGTTGTCAAAACTTTCCTGATCTCCTTCACCCAGGTTGTTTTCACTTCAGCCGTTGGTGCCTGAAATTGGAAGAGTAACATGCACCAAGAGATTAAAAAGGGGTGTACATCTTTCCTTTTTGCTATTTATTACCATTAGAAGCTATTAGCATGTCCAAAAAAAAAAAAAAAAAAAAAACATTACATGCCTGCACAATGTAGACCTCTTCTCTGGAGTTACACCAGATTTCAAACTTCTTGTTGTCTCCTTTGGCGTTTTCGGTAATACCCACAGCGTTCATCTATCAAGGCAGGTCATCCAGTGAAATTTTAAATAACGCATTAAAAAATAAAAAATAAAACAAAAAATAAAAATAAAAACCAAAGCAGCAACACATCCAAAATCGAGAGGCGCTCACGCTGAGTGACTGCTTGAAGCTGTAGGAGGGCGCCTTCTCGTAACCCTCCCCGCTCTCCTCCCTCCGCTTACAGAAGAGCAGGGCCTTCTCGTGCAGGAAGATGTGTCTCTGCATGGGCTTAAAGCGGGCCAGGTCCTTGACCTTAGCGTGGCCTTTCTTGTGTTCCGTCCACACGCTGAACGAGCCCTGCATCAGCAGCTTGCCCAACTCACTCAGGTTGCCCTGGCAAAGCAAAGACAATCATACTTTTGACATGAGCGATATCAAGTCTTCTATAGCGACATTTCCTTCGAGCGAATCAGTTTAATTTAGCCTGGTATGGGCGGAGCAATGAACCCAGACAGACTGAGGTCGCAATTAATGTGTAAGGTGAGCGTTTGCACAAAAAAAAACGATTTCACCCAAAAATTTGAATTGAGCATTAAGACCGGCAGTCAGAATATAGCCGAATAAACATTTTACTATATTTTAGCGGAATAGAAAATGGAGGGATGTATTCTTATTAAATGCATTTGGACCAATAAGTGACTCTGTGACTTTGCGTTCATCCAAGTCGTCTAACGTCCCACCTCATATCCTGTAATGGCGATGAGGTGCATGGAGTCATTGACAGCCTTCAGTATGCCCAAGATGGACGTCAGAGCCTCTTGCAGGTCATCTGTGCCGTCACAGCCCTTGCTGTACTTTAGCATTTCCTGCAATGAGCCAAAAAAATGACGAATCATTTCCTTTTTTCTTTTTAACCACAACAATTCTAGTTTGTGGCTAATAGACGACATGTTACCTTCAACAGCAGTTGGTATTTTGTAATTCTTTGCACAGGCTTCAGCAAATAGGAATCCAAGCCAAGTTTATGCTCCAGCTTTTTCTGACACTCCTGGAGAAGATTGTTAAATAAGGACGTCAAACACTCAAACAAAATAATTAACACGGGCATGTGTTGACAGTACCTGGAAGAAGATTGAGTCTGAGCACTGCCTCCAGAGGCTTTCGGAGCGAGGCTTGTTGTGACAGTACTTCTCGTAGATCTGCAGGTCTGTCATCTAAGCGAGGAGAGATGAGTTGTGTCGAGGAAATGATGAAATAAAAGACTCATGTTTTCCACTTTTTTTTTTTTTTTGCACAATGACTTCATTCGCTTACCCTTTCCAGGAAACATCTTCCAACTAGCTCTGGACAGTCCGCGTACAGCTCCAACTCCCTGAGAAACGTCCTGGAAAACAAAGATGGTGGACCAGCATAAGTATTTGTCATCAAATTATTTTAGGGCCATTCAATGAACCGAAAATCAAAGGGTGGCTTCTCGTTGACAGCTAGAGGGCGCTCTTTTCACCTCTTGTGGAAGTGGTAGATTTCTGGCATGTTGCCAAACAAAACCTCCTTTTTGTTCTGCAAATGGGGAGGGATGAGGTGCGCCATGGCTGCGTTATCCATCTCAGAGGCATAACCCTGCAGTTAAAACAAAGGGGAAAAAAAGTTCAGACGGATTGTGACACCAACAAATGCTGGATATGTCCAAAGTGTTGTGGGGTGGTTAAATCTGAACCTGTAAGACACACAGCAGCTCCTCCACATAAGCCCTCTCCGTTTCCAGCAACTCGTTCATGACGTGCCTGCAAATGGTGAAAGTTACATTCAAAAGAAGTACAAATAAATCAAATACGACCCAAAAGTTAAGAAACGTCCCTTTTTTTTTTTTTTTAGACTGGGGTTTTTTTTTTTTTTTAATTCATTGCCACTATGGATGCTTGCATCATGATGGATATTTATTGAAATTTGCAGTCGGTGGATCTGGCCATTCAATTGGAGTGTGGTGGGAGTGGCTGTGTAAATTCTAAACAGCAGCAGCGTGCGAGTGACGGGACGTCTCAAGGTGTTTGCAAGATCACAAGAGTTGTTTATAGTAATTAAGGAGCGACCCCACCCAAGCGAGTTTAACCCATGAATGCGTGTCTATGGGCCATGCATTAGAGGTAACCTGGAAATTGCTGTGTCAATATGATGGAGATGGAGGCCCCCCACCCCACCCCACCCAGCCAAGAGGGGAGGGCAACCCGACCAGCAGGACCCTACCCACGTCAAGGGACACTAGGCGCTCCATCAGCCCCACCGAAGCACCCGAAAGCCGGCCACCACCCCCCCTGGCTGGAACACGGCACTCCAATGAATGTCAGCTGGCACCGCCCCGACACCCTCCCGACATGCTCAGGACTGCCACAAGGACACACAGGGAGGCCAGCCTTGGCATTCGCCAAACCCTCAAGGCAGAAAAGGAGGACGCACCCTGCCCCCATCGCAAGCATCGGCTCAAGAAGATCGGGTTCTCCAATACGAACTTGTGGCCAAACATTCTTCCAGAGTGAAGTCTAATGCCTCACCTTCTGAGCACTGCCAGGTTCTCCTCCTCCTCCGACAAAGAGCCGTGTCTATGTTTACCCTCTCCGTTCTGCAGTTGCCTCTCTCCCTTGGGTGGACAAATAAAAGTAGTAGAGTGACATTAACAGTGTCTATCCACATAAAATCGTGACTTCACCCACTTTGTTACAGCTTTCGTTGCTTCCCTCAGAGTGGCTTCGATCCAGTTTACCTCGGTGGGCTGAGGTACGAAATGCGGACACAATCACAACAGAAACAAGTTGCGGGGATTTCGAAAAAAGACACGCGATCGGGTGTTTAATGCTGCTAAAAAAAAAAAAACGCATTGAGACTGACCGGGTGAACTGAGAGGAGATTTGATGAAGGCTTCGGGTCTGGGTGCAACCGGCTGCACTGGCCTGGTCTGCTTGGCTGCCAGCTTGTTCAGGCTGACCCTCCTCTTGTCAAACATCTCCTGCATTGACGCCTGCTTTTGAAACACCTTCTCCACTTGGTCCTGTTCAGCAGCGAAAAGAGCGTCAATATCATATTCGAACAGCAGTTGCCCAAACCAGTTTCTAGGTGCAAGAGGTACCCTGAGGTGCTGGTCGAGCACTGCCTCATAATCCGTCCAGATGCTATTCAGGTCCGACAGTCGGTCCTGGCCTGCGTCCGCCAGAAACCCCTCCAGCTCCTGCAGAGCTGATTCAGCTCCCTCATGTGATTGACACTTGTCCACGGGCTGAGAGGCCAGCAGGTAAATCCCATCATCGCACCACTTTGAAGCCTGTCGAGGACGGTAAGACAAGAAATGAACACATGAAAGCGATTCGTATGTGTGCTTAGGTACACAAATGTTACCCACTCTCTCCAAGCAGCGATGCAGCTCTCGGGCTTTGAGGAGCAGCTCCTTCTTCGCCTTCAAGTTGTCGCTCAGTTCCTGGCAGAGTGCTCGGAGCTCGCTGCTTTTCGGCACAATGGAATCCTGAGCGTAGTGAGCCTTCTGGACGAGGTCATCGCCTTCACCGGCCAAAGCCAACGCTCTGTCCAATGCCTCCTGTGGACCGCAAACACAGATTTTGTCAACCTTTAAAGGAGCGCAGGGACCATTGATCAGGCAAGTAATTTTGTGCTTACAATTGTTGAACCATGCAGTTTCTCGTTGGCAATTACCAAGTTGAATAAATGAAGGAATAAGTACCGTATTGGCCCGAATATAAGACGGTGTTTTTTTTGCATTGAAATAAGACTGAAAAAGTGGGGGTTGTCTTATATTCGGGGTCTAGACATTATACCCATTCGCGACGCTAGATGGCGCCAGATATCATTGAAGCGAATGCTGAACTTGACTCCTCAGGCCAAAGCGAACCCGTCACAAAGAATACAAATAAAAATAGCGGTAGCACGAAGTAGAAAAATAAAAAATAGGGGTAAGAAAGAAAAGAGAAGAAATTTATCTGAAGTGTATTCATCACTTACGCAGACTCTCTCCTCGTAGGCGGTGAGATCACTGAGGACATGGTCAGCGTGGGCGTGGCTGATCCTCACCTCAGAGAAGGTGGTCAGTTTCTCAGACAGCCGATCGAGCAGAAGTCTCACCTGCGGCGCCGAGACACTTTGAAAATGAGTAAGAGAAACCTGAGCGCTGCCAGTCGATTTGATTTGACGAACCTCCTTGTAGTCATCCTCAAAGTGGCGCAGCTGGAGACACTGCTCCAGTTTGGCTCGGTGCTTCCCCCAGAACTCATCAAAAGCCCTTTCGGTCTCATCCAACTGGGACAGCAGCCTAGTCGAAGGCAGAGAAGGAGGTGACGGTGGAAAAAAAATTCGATAACTCAGCTGGAATGCTGACTGAGTGTTCAGAGAGCCAAATGCCAGTTGACACGACACTCCCGAGTCTTCAGTGCGCTCATGAGGCCAAATAAAAACTCACAAGCACCAGTTCAGCTTCAGCAATGACAAGACTAGTGTCCTTCCAAAACTGTGACAAAGCTAAAACACTCAATGGACACTAATTGTCAATACCTGTAGTCATGTGTGATCCAAAAAAGAAGATTAAAAAAATTCTGCCATTACAACGTAATTTCCGCACCTCTGCACTGTTGCCAGGTTCTCCAGTTCATCCTGGTTCATGCTGTGGTCAGGGTTGTGCTTCAGGGGTTCATTGATGCTCTCCAACAGCCTGCCGCCTTGGCTCAGAGCCACCAGCAGATCATCCTAGACAAAAAAAAAAACAAAAAACATCGACACTAAACTATTTTTTGTACATAAAAACAAGTGGACCTAAACGAATGAATAAAGATTTACCTTCATCTGGTCTTTTTTGCAGCTGTGTGCACTGAGGAGGAGGGTGGTGGCCTGAGCCTCATTGGGGAGTTCTGTTTCAGCCAACTCAGTGCCGAACGACTGCAAGGTTTGGGCCATTTTCTTCACCATCAATGCAAAGCCCTCAATAGCCTGTCATCACAAGAAATAAGATGTGTGCCGGACAGCTTAAGCTCCCCGCCACCACACAGGAGAATCTGAATGTTAATAGGTGAAAAATATCGTGGCTCTTATTGCCTCTCAACGAAGTGACAAAAGAGTACACAGGAGAACTTATGTTGGCCGGTGCCATCTCGGTCTATTCAGAACACGCCAAGATGCAATTAGCATTGAGCAGCTAACGTGGCTACGGAATAGAGCTCATAGCCTTTAAATTCCAGTTTATTCAGGATGCTCTTAGGGAAAAAAAAAAAAATTAATCTCGGTTGAATTTATTTCCCCTGTTTAAATAATTGTAAAATAAATGTCAAATAGTGGACTTAAAAAAATAACACTGATACTGTCTGTATCCAACTTCCAGTCTACATTATTTGATATATTAACCAAGGTTTTTATTAATGGTGTGTTTGTGTTTTTCCATGTGATGAAAATTCACATTAAATACATCAAGAAAAACCTTGATACAGTAATTCAGAAGTGGCTATGAATATACACTCGATCAGTGAAGAAAGTCAAAGTAAATAAGTCAGAAACGTATCCTGTATTTTCATTTGGCGGCCATTTAAATTGAACATTAACACAGGAACATTATGTTTAGTATATGGAGGAGTTTATAGCTCATGCGATCATGCGATATTAGTGTCATAATAGTCACAAGTCCATAACCAGAATTCCTTTCGGAGTCAAGGGAGCAAAACATAACATCGCATGTGAAGGAGATCAACAAACGCATACGCAATATTGGAAGTCTGCATGCTTCAAAATGTTTCGTTGCGACATAAAAACCGCATGTACATACGGTACGGTGAGTGATCCACTTCTCGTGACAGTACGCCTGCGTTCCCCCAAGGTCCTGGCTCAGCTGCGTGTGGTCAATGTAAGAGTGAAGCTCACTCACCGAGCTCAGCATGATCACCTGGAACAGAACCACAAAACGTGACCTCGCACGCAGTACATTTTCCAATAGGACAAAGTTAATAAAGGGGAAAGAAAGGCACGTACAGGCACTTTCATTTTGAAGTCATCCTTGTTGAACTTAAAGAGGATGTCGGAGAGTGTGCGTTGGAGGAGAGTGGTGGGCCTCAGGACCAGAACCAGCTGGAGGTTTCCAGGGAACGCGCCCTGGGGCGATAAAGGACAAGACCAATAAACGAGATGGATCAAAAATCCAAGAATGCTTCATTTCCAATTCTGATTAGAGGGCCACCTAATGAGCTCGGCACTGAGTTAGAACAAGGTTCGTATTTTTAAACACCAACATACATCACTTCAGACAGGGCGTTATCGTAAAGGAGACAGGAAGCTCGTCATCTCCAGCCGTGTGGAACAGATGAAGCTGATTTAATTCAAAACAAGCCAACATCCTCCATCGGTGTCTTGAGAGAGCAGCTTTGGTGGCAAATAATCACATCCTGTTTCAACTTTTATTGTACCCCCCCCCCCTCCTCAGTACAAAATTGATTGATTCGACCTGAAACAAAAAGATTCATATCTAAACATTTTGGAGAGGTGCAATAGCTGTAGCTGGCATAGCCGAGAGGGGGGGGTGGTGGTGGTGGGGGGGAAGACCGAGCCTCCATTAAAGCTCTTATTATTAGGATGATGTCACTTTCTGATATCATCGCTCTTCAAAGACATAATTCAATTCATCATCCAGGGGTAATAAATCAGAGGGACTGAAAACAGAAGGAAACAACATGACGACCTTACGCTAAATTATATAATGGATCCTGAAGGGTTGAACACAATCCATTCCGAAGCATTAGTTAACAACTGATTGGTTTAGACGGAATACATTTTTTTTTCCCCAGAGGAAACAATAAAAATGGAAATGATCTGTTCCAGGGGTGGGATTAACTCGTCATTTTGATGACCAGTGCCGGACACCGTGACAAATTTGAGGGATGACTACTTCCTGTAAGGTTAATCACTTCACATAAAGACCAAACACGTTGAGTATTTAGTACAATTGTTACCTTAGCCATGTTGTCCTGTGCAGCCGAGACGTGTTGTCTAATAGCTTCCATGACCAGTTCTATGGCTATCATCACATTTCACCCTTGTGGAGTTTATCCTTTCGCAGTTCACTGAATTGAAGTCTCACAATATATTGTATACAGTAGTTTGCTTCACTTCTTTTAGTTGGACAATTGAAATTCTGAATTAAAACACCGCAGGCACTCCTTTTGTTTCTTTGAGGCTTGAAAACATCTGCCTTTTTTTTTTTTTTGCACTGGAAAAGGTAAAAAAGTGTCCCGTGATTAACCCCACGGGTTACATTAGTAGTTGGCACCCTGAGGGACACAAATGTACTCCTGCTGTAGCAGCAAGCACTCAGATCGGCAGGTGAAGACATTCACAAAACAAAGAAGCCACCAGCTGAGTGAACTCACCGCAATCCGAAGCAGGGTCCCTTTGACGGCCGCCCATCGGTCCTGCCGACGATCGATGACCAGTATGAAGCCCACGTCCGTTGATGGCAAACTGGCAAGCACACAGTGAGCAAAAATCCATTAATCGTCGAAACCTAAATGCAAAAATAGTTCCGATTGGGGAAGCCGCAAGTGCACAGTTTTCCTTTATGAGACAGGAGATGAAGCCACGTTGTGTTATTATGGGGCTCTTCTTATCTTCTCAGCCAGGGATGCCCCCCCCCCCCCCCACCCCTCCACCATGGGTGGCCTCTCTGCCGGGCATTTTACAAAGTCACTCACATCGTACGAGCGTGCCGTGGGAAAAACAGGAACAAAAATCCCAAGTACACCTGCTCATTGCAGTCAGCAGTAGTATTAATTAGCAGCTCAACTGATACAGTAGAGCTGGATTGCGTCGCAAAGGTACAACTACAGAAACCAGCGTGCAAATAGCTCGCGTGTTCAGCCTAAGCACCGCCCCCACACCCAACATCCATCCAGTCAGTGATGGACGCTGCTGGAACGTGAGCCAATCACAAAGGTTGTTGCAGAGTGACAAGTCGCTCTCGAAGCCAGAGAGCGAGTCTGAACAGACACGGCGGGGGGGATGGGAGGTCCAAGAAGAGGACCCTGTAAACAAGGCTTGATATCCAGTCAGAGAATTCTCTTTCAGCTATAAACCCTCACTGGCATGGGTACATATCTAAAAACATTATTCACAAAAAAACAAGAAAAACATATACAACAGCAAAATGCTAGTTACATATCAATGGAACATTTTTTTGAAACAAATCAAACAAACATCTAATTGCTGAATCATGGTGTTGAGTTGACTGTATTAATTACATGGCATTCGTCCGAAAATAAATCATCAGCTGATCCACTGATCATTCTTTATAACAAGCAGTCACGATACACATCAGACAATGGGCACCACCCCCCCTAAGGGGAAGACGACATGTGACTGTTCATATTTGGAACAGCTCGAGGCTCATCACACCAACGATGAACAGTCAGTGTTGAAATGAAACCCTCAACCGTTCAACCCGATGTAGAATAACACAACACACTCAAATGCAATGAAAATGATTGACATGGAGGAATGTTTAAGATGGTGGTCTCACGCATTTAACCCTCGCCGTCTACCTCATCCAGTCCCCCAGTGTATGACACCCTGCAAAAGACTGATAACAACCCTGGATTATGACTGATCAAAACAGGACTCATGACCATTTTTTCCCCCTTTACTATGCAATCCAGCGGGATTTTCAGGCGATCCCTTTTTTTTGTGGGTGTTTGTTTACAGAATACAGACAAGTCTGAGATTAAAGTTGCGGGCCTTTGGTGTAATTCTACAATGGGATGTAACATGCCAGGCAGCATTTAGGGCTACTGGAAGAGATGCAGCCTAGTTAACAGCAAAAAGAAGAGAACGCTCCTTCAGGAACATGTTTTTACTGCTTTACTTTTTAGGATAGCATTGTTTTAGTCTCTGTAAGTGTTGCTGTTGCATGTGCATTAAAAAAGTATCAGAGGTTTTATAATTACTGTAACATCTGTGCTAATTTCCGTTTGGCCTCGATAGCGTTTGGCATTGTGTTAACATTAAACCAGCAGACTTTCCCGAATGGAATTACTGCATGGGTTATGGTTAAATACTTTGGCGTTTAAACAGAAAATGGCTCACGCTGGTTTGTTTTACGTGCCAGTTTTTCAGGAACCTCAGCCGTAAGTGTGCAATAAACAATGGAATATTTGAAAATGTGCGATGGAACAAGTTTAAGTGTGTTTACTAAGTGGAAATGTTTGATCCCTTAGCATATTTGCAGGTTTGACATTTGCAAATTCACCTATGCTTATTTGCGGAAAGCCTTCATGAGTCATGTTTCCGATCGCGCTACAATTTGCACAATATATATTTTTTAATTCGATTCCCCACTTATTCACAGTATTTTTTTTCAATATTGTTAGTCCCCACGATAAATATCATGTCAGTCAATCGTTTGCTAATTATCACTGTTAGTGGTTGGGAGTGGGCCCAACCGCCAATAGTTGTCCACTGGGTGTTATTCATGGTCACAGTTCCCGCCCCCCAAAAAAGAGGCACAGCGTGCTTGCTTCAACTTGCTTATTTGTACATACAACAAAAAATAATGAAGGTCTCTTTATACTCGCGCGGATGTCACTAAGTCAATGCCGTGCGCTGTTTTCCTTTATACTCCAGTGCAACCTACACACATCGTTTTGAAAATGTGCTGCAGTTTCACTCCAAATCGGGGGTGTCACTAGTATTGGCTCGGACACCAAAGGGGAGAGCTTCTGGTAGCACTCTTTTCTAAAAGTCGTACTTTCCTGTATGTACACGATAAAAACCTATAGGAAATGACATCTTAGATCTGCATGAATCAAAAAATTTTAATTAAAATAATTAATGAGATAGCAAGATGGCGAGCGAACTCACCTGGGTACACTTGTCAGGTAGGTGAGCACATTGTGAAATTCTCTGTCTGTGATCTCGCCGAAGGATGGGAATTCTGGGAACACGATGATGGGACTGCCGTTGTCTCCTCTGCCGCCTGAGCAAGAGCAAAAAAAATACCGTTAGGTACAGTACTGGATATGAGAACAGTACATACTGTATATCCATCCATCCATCCATTTTCCGATCCGCTTATCCTGACAAGGGTCGTTGGGGTCTCAGCCGTCTCCGGGCAGTAGGCGGGGGACACCCTGAACCGGTTGCCAGCCAATCGCAGGGCACACGGAACAACCATCCGCGTTCACACTCACACCTGGACAATTTAGAGTGTTCAATCAGCCTGCCATGCATGTTTTTGGAATGTGGGAGGACAAACCGGAGTATCCGTAGAAAAGCCACGCAGGCACGGGGGAGAACATGCAAGCTCCGCACAGGATGGGTGGAGCCGGGATCGAACCTACGACCTCTGCGCTTTGAGGTCGACGCACTAACCACTGGTTCACCGGGCCACCCTGAACAATTACAGTACATTCATATTTTTTGTAAACAAATCATTCTGGTGGGTTTCACATAAACGTGTTCATTTCACAAAGACACGAGGTCCGGTTTAAGTATCAGACACCACAATGCATCGATTTCATTTATTTACAGTAGGCTGCAGTCCAGTCCAGTAACTCATCTCAGAATCTATTATGCATTATATTTGTTAATTTCATGGTTATTTGTTCTCTTTCCGCATCATGTCCATTATAACAAATAAAAAATAAAGATGAAAATATCTGATGTTGTGCCATGACAATCCATTTTTTTTGACATGCTGTTTCACTGCCTGCATTTTAACAGCTGCTCCGTCAGCGCTTGTGCCCGGAATATCAATCCGTTGCTTGCCCATTTCTTCCTGTCGCCAAGGCAACAGCAAGGGTAAGGTCATGGTTCTAATAAGGTCCGTAAAAAGGTTCCCAACACTGCTGCCGCCTCAAGGTCACCAAGGGTGAATTGAAAAGGCGTGTAAGTATATAAATCCTTTGCCTTCAAAAACAAATATTAAATATGACTTTACATATGAGTGCGAAGTGTATACAAAATTCGAAAAAAAAAGCACTGCACTGTCCTTTGCTGTATGTCTGAAAGCGATGACATTTGACTGGCAAAGAACTGCCAAGCCAAAAATAGGTCAGAGGAAATTTGCAAATGCAAAATAAAGCTGACGCATGTGTTAGACTGGAAAACTGCAGCCATCGCTGATGTGCAATGAGAAGAGAGAAAATGTGTTGAAATACAATATGTAACCGGGAGAACATTCACACACACAAAAAACTCAACGAGGTCAAGTACCCCCCCCCACTTATAAAAAAATCAGGTGATACAATACAGACAACAAATAACATTTGACTTTGTAAAGTGGGCCCAGTTGTGGTGTGAGTATGAGTGTGAATAGTAGTCTTTCTCTAAATCTGCCTTGTGATTGACTGGCGACCAGTCCAGGGTCCACTATGCCTTCTGCCAGAAGCTGCCCAACAACAGGATAAGTGGCATATAAAATACATGGATATTTTTTTTCCATTCATAAAAGGCGAAAGGGCAAGTTGAAGTAGCAGACGAGCACACAATGAGTAACGAATGAGTCACCTGAAAGAAAAGCGAACTGCCTCCTGAGTTCAGGAGTGATGTCAGCAGCACGGAGGGGACTGCTGTCCAATTGCATGATCTCATCTGGAGGGAAGACACACACACACACAAAAAATGCAATGAAACAATGAAGAATAATCATCTTTCTTTCCTTGCCGTTTGTCGACGGTTCTCAGAAAACCTACTACAACATTATAAGTTACACTGACTGATACCATGTACCTCTAGTTGAAGAGAGTCACAGTTATTGATTAGAAACAGACATTAGAGGAACAGCTTCCATTTCCTTTTTCCTCTTTATTGTAACCTCAGGCGAGGGTGTGCATGTCGCGAACAAAGCATCAGTGGATGTGGAATCGAGACAAGACAAACGGCCTCGGCTCTGATGTTTGTAACTTGTTATAAAGCAGAGCTGCCTCATGGATGATAATGGCTACTTGTTGCCTGAGGTGACATCTGGGGGATGCTCATGGGTCCAGCACATGCACTCGATCAGACAACCGCACCTCAGCCCCCGGCGACTCCCACGCATCAAATCCAAACCCACACCCGCTTTGTTTTGTCGAAAAAAATACCCCCCTCTTCAATTAAGTCATTTTTTTGGTGTTTTTTTTCCCCCTCTCATTATATTATGAATATAAATATTCATAATACCAGTAAAAGTAATAATAATATATGGAAGCTACTAAGACTAGGAGGATAATTAAAATGACCCATTTACAATTACATTTTCAACTATGTCCTTAAAAAATACTTACAACCCCACATTACCTTGATAAAACACAGAACATAGTGTCACTTCTTATTGAGATTTCACACCACTTGCCATTCACACCTGCTGGCATCAATCAAAAAAAAATCCTCAAGCCTTTAGAATGGAAACCAGCCAACACATCAGAACGTTACAAGTGAAACCGCTCTACTATGTGGCGAGTGTCGGGTTTCGGATCTCTTTCTTTTGCAGCTTTTCTCATCCCGAAGTATCACCGATGTCACAAAGACCTCATGGGATGACTCAAGCGTCCCAACACCTGCGTGCATTAAGCAACCTGTGCGAAACGTTCCGATACAAGAGATGCATCAATCAATCAAAAGTAGCATTATTATACTGTATTCGTAAGGGCAAAATCATTGTATTAGATCTCATAAATGTTGCAAATAAAATGTACACTGAGTGTCGCTAAGACACACACACACACACACACACACACAAAAAAGAAAAGAAAATAGGACCGTATTTTCCACACCAAAAGGCACACTGAATTATGAGGCGCACCTTCAATGAATGGCCTATTTTGTAATGTTTTTCATTCATAAGACGCAATCAACAATTCATCCACTAGATGGAGCTTCACTCAAGGAACTGCCAACACAGCGATCAGTTGTCAGTAAAACTTATTTAATAAAGCAGCGACACAGTTTACTTAACCAACAGCAAGTTATAACATTGACTCGTTAACGTTGAACTCTCTTGCCGCTGCTCTTTTCCCATGTTCAACTGCGTAACCCGATCGCCGAAAGTTTGAACTTTGCGTTGTAAGCATGTCTCTAGCAAGGAGCCATTTTGGGGCCGACATATTACTGTAATGACCATACACAAGGCGCATCGGATTTTAAGGCGGGCTGTGAGCTTTTAAGAAAGCGGAAGGCTTTTAGGTGCGCCTTTTAGTGCGGAAAATACGGTAAATGAAAACAAGTTAGCATGTCCCTGTAAAACACGCTACTATTATTTCACCGTACCATTGAAACACTGAGACTCACGCATACACACCAGCTGCTGTTTGAGGGACTAAGGTTCTTTAACGGGCTTAACGGCGGGAGGGATTAGCATCCTGCTCATGTTTGTCGGAGGGGGACGAGTCAAACGTTAGTGGATCACAGTCACACACCTGGACCGCCTGCCACTACTGACACACTTTCAACGGGTGCCAAGTTGCATGCGGCACCCTGGCCGTGAGTAGACGAAAAGCATTTGAATAATAACAATAATGAGTAAGACCGGGCCCACTCTGTGCTCTCCAAGATGTAAGCCTTTGAATAGCACTGGGGGACAATTTCAAAAATAATGTGTTGAGTTTGATATTTATGCTGATTAAAAGTGAAATTGACATGCTGGTTCCAAAAAAGCAGTCAGTTTTGTTTTGTTTTGTTTTTTTCCTGAGCTAATCTTCCAGATAAGCAAAATTTCACTGATTACCTGTCGTAAGAAAAGCTGATTACGATTGGACTCATCTATAGCTATGTGGCAACTTGTTTGCGCGGTCACAATTGTCACAGTGCGGTGAGAGGTGTGTGCAGCTCCCATGAGGTCGGTACTATCATGAGGATTAGTGCCGACTTTTCTCTTCACCTTGTAACCATGAGCATTTGCTTGTACGTATGATGCTGTTGTTTGGTAACTATTTTATCTTACCGTTTTATTTAAATACATACACATCAATTTCGTATTTAGAAAGAAAATGGGGATCTATAGCTCAAAAACGTCATCAGATAGATTAAAATTGCGGTCAGTTTTGGATTCCGCACCCACAAATGAGTTAGAAACAGCTGGCAGACCTAACTCAACAAAAAATTGTGCGCTGGTCAGATGGAAGAGGAAACAACAGAAGACCAAAAGAGGACATTAAATGGAAGGAGTTGAGGGGGGAAAAAAACATTTTGAAACATATACAAATTGGAAAAACAAATATAATGATGATTCTATCTTGGTGGAGTTTTTTTTTTTTTTTTTTTTTTTTAAATCCACTTTTGGTATTGGATGTCAGGGACAACATGACAAGGTGAAGACATCAGGCACCTACCACACAACCAGTGGCAGTAGCGGGAAAATCTGGAGTATTTTTCAACCTCCTCCAGGGAGATGTATACATGATCCCAGCTCTCACGTACAGGCTGCACGGAGCCACGGCAACGCTCTACTTGTAGACTCTTTGCTTGTCTTCCTGCCCCTTCGTGTACGGATCCTGACTCAACCTCCATCTTACGTCTTCCCTTTCTGCCCTGTCGTTTCTCCTCATTAGTGCAATTTGTCATGACAAGTCCATCCCGCTCCTGTTTCTTCTCAAGCTCAACCAAGTCCATCCTCTCCAGTCCCACAGTACTCGGCAGCTCCGAGTCCACTCCAGTACAAAAACTAGAGTCCAACTCAAAATCCACAAAGGAGGCTTGTTGACTGCTCTTGGTCTGCTTCTCTTGTTCCAATCACAACAACAGGTAGCCTCTCGTTCGGACGCCCTCCCCGCCCCTCGTCTGCACATTCAAAGTGCCGTGCTATAACTGTGCGGACTTCCCAGTCCTAACCTCAGGTTACCTTCCTCATAGCAGACAAAAGCTACCTTGTACCGCTGAAACCCTCCCTTCCGCCCAACTAACTGGTATCTGGGTACCTCTTCCTCCAAAAGGACAATTAGCTGACCACGCCCAGCTCAGCAGCTCACTGACAATTCACTCGCTGGCCACAATATTAGTGACAGAACCTAACATGATCTCAAAAACATTGAAGGGACACAAATGACTTACTGGCCTTGTTAAGCAGAACAAATTACAACTTGGTTTCAAGCAAATGGAGAAGTTACATTGGAATTTTGATGAAGTAACACGGTCAGGTGGTCAGCGTACACGGTTCCACTTGGCCGCATTATCTCAGGGGATGCGGACCTGAAACTACAAAGCCTCTATTCTGACAAGCCCATTTAAACACAGTTTGAATCCCCCTTTAACCAGTGGCAGACTGGGACTATTCAAAGCCCTCAGCCATTTTTTTTTTTTTTTTACACCACTCAAAAGATTCCATTATGACCAACTCTAAGAGAGTCCTAATTCGAAAGGCATCCTCAAAGAACAGCACATTGTTACATTGCCCATCAATGGGCAATGTAACAATTCAAGCTCATTGACTTGTGTGGAAAGATACAGTGCACTCTAAAGTCAGCTGGAAAGTTTGAACAAGGCCTGTTTAGTACATCGGAAATATGTGTCTTCATGCATGCGTGTGTGTCGATGGGGGTTTTTTGTTTGCGCAGCGAAACACCCTGCACGCATCAGGTTATCAGTAAACACCAAAGCTAACAATAAGGCGGTCACAAAAGCGCATAAACCACAGGTTTGTTTGTCAATGATTCATTACAAGGTGATAAAGAGACTAAGTTAAATTGAATGGGACCCTGAGCCACACCTTCATACTTTTCGGCTCCAAAATTGCATTGTCAGGTTAAAAAAATAAAAAAGGCTAAAACACGACAGTTTTATACATATTATGTTAAAGCCAGTCTTGTGATCTGACACATTTTCACATTTGCACTGCAGGCTCAAAAATGCATTGTCGTTTTCACGAGTGGCTTCTTTTTGGCAGCTAATTAGCATTCTGTAGATGAGTCAATCATCTATCCACCCATTTTCGGATTTGCTTATCCTCACAAGGGTCACGGATGTGCCGGAGCCTATCCCAGCTGTCTTTGGGTAGTAGGCAGGGGACACCCTGAACTGGTCGTTAGCCAATTGCAGGGCACACATAGACGAACAAACATCGACGCTCACACTCACACCGAGGGACAATTTCGAGTGCTCCATTAGCCTGTCACGCATGTTTTTGGAATGTGGGAGGAAACAGGAGTACCCGCAGAAAACCCATGCAGGCAAGGGGAGAATATGCAAATTCCACACTGCACCTCTGCACTGTGGGGCCGACGTGCTAACCAGTCACCGCCGTGCCGCCCTCGATGAGACGTTTACATGCAATTGCTCATGTTTGTTTTATTTGTATTTTGTTTCCTCGAGAAATGACAACCCCCCACATAAAGCAAATTAAATAGTCCAAAGAGAAAACCTGGTCTGATTAGTGATCACATGGACAAAGTTACGTTATACCCGGTCATAATGCAGCAGTTATTACTCCCGTAAATCAGATTCATACCAGCAAATATTTTTGAACATTTCCATCGAAAAACATGAATTTTCATCCGCTTCAGCCGAACACAGCATTGTGAACTGCACAGACCATGATATTTTGCGCCGCTTAGCAAATAGGAGCAAATGACTGTCCAATCCCATTTCTTTATCACTGTTGTTATTATGTACAAAAACACACCACTGTGCTTTTTTTCCCCAAATATGAGCTTTAGTTTCGCAATAACCTGAGTTTTTATACAGTAGCATGAGCTTTTTTTTTCTTTTTTTCGCCAAACTCCCCACAAAAATCGAGGTTCATATTGTGATAATATCGCCTCGTGATCTTTGGATATTGTTACATCCTGAGAAACAATACTGTCTTTTTGGAAGTTCAGTGACAAGACATCCTGTGTTAACAGACCCAGAGACACGTTTTGGCAGTTTTAGGCTTCAAAATTGCATATTCATGTGAAAATTGGCTAAAATGAACCAATTTGATGAACCTCTGTGTAAGTTCAAATCGGTCTCAGGTCTCATGTGATCCCATAAAACAGAAAGTCAAACCCCGGGGCATTAGAATTTTAACGAGCCAGTGAGGGTAATTTTCATCATTCATATGACGACTACCAATTTCTTTAGAAGATACTAATTCCAAAAAAGTGAGTTTTACCCCCCACCCCAAGCATATAATATTTTCTATCGATAGTATGAAAAACAAACACAAGTTGTCATCCTACCTCACACACTTCTTTTAAAATGAGGAGACAGTGGTATTTTTCCAAGGAGAGACCAACGTGAAAAATTTAAGGATGACCTTGATCGGAAAATAGCAGCGTATGTTCATCTGGCACTGGAAACTAGAGACAAGCAGCTGATCAAAGTAAAGCACAAGCACAAGTCAAACGTCAGCGTTTCGTTCACTCACGTCGCTTAAGGGTAACCATTGGAATCGCATTTTCCCATTTCGAAGCGTTCCTCTTGGCTTTCCTCACCATTCTTTCCGCCCTCTGCCTTGCATGGACCACGGGAGGTCTCAAAGTGGAAACATTGAGCTCGATAGAACACCAAGCTTCCCCCCTCGCCTTCGGAGCAGCTGCTGTGCTTGCGGCTGACAACAAATGAGGGCAATAAGCACTGTGCAGCCGTTCAGATTTGTATGCTGGTAGCGTTTGTTGATGCAGCACAGGATTGGACCTGCA